GTACCCACTACAGTACCCATTACAGTACCCACTACAGTACCCACTACAGTACCCACTACAGTACCCATTACAGTACCCACTACAGTACCCACTACAGTACCCACTACAGTACCCACTACAGTACCCACTACACTACCCACTACAGTACCCACTACAGTACCCACTACCCCTCTGCCGACTACTGAACTGGACACTACAGCTACTCGTACTCGGACTACAGTGGAAGCTACCACGGTTGCCCTGACAACCACGATGCCCACCACCACCTCCTCCTCCCTGGTAACGACCACAGTGAACAACAGGATCAATAAGGAAGTGACACACAGACAGAGAGGAGACGTGCACAGTGAGGACGCACACACACACACACAGACACACACACACACACACACACACAGTTTCACTGGTGTAAAACAGCTTCAACTGTCTGAAATTGTCTCTATTTTCACTTTTTACACAATAACAATAATAACAATGTGTGTGTTACTGTGTGTGTGTGTGTGTGTGTGTGTGTGTGTGTGTGTGTTGCAGTCCCTCGACATCCCAGTCAGAACCACGTGTGGGAGTTTGACATCGAGCTTGGAAACACAGCCGAGGACGCCAGAGACGATCCCGGTGAGCGTTTGTTTTATTCACCTTCACGGGCCTGATGGTTCCGGTTTATTACAAACTCTTATTCTCTCAGTAATAATAACGTCACAGAGTTAATATATCAGCGATGTGGATTTCATATGTTTTTATCTGTAGTCTCGATGGATTCCAGATTTCAGAAATATTCAAATAAAATAACATTTATTATTATACCACACGCAAACAAACTGCACAGGATCAACATAAAGTGTCTGCAAACAGGAGACTGAGATATATTGAGGTCAGAGGTCAAGCCCCCTTACTGACATGGTTGGTACCGATGGATGCGTAATGTCTTCAGTGTATCCACTGCAGCCTCTGATAGTCAGTGTGGAGGGCACCTGAACACACTGTGATACCTGTGTGTGTGTGTGTGTGTGTGTGTGTGTGTGTGTGTGTGTGTGTGTGTGTGTGTGTGTGTGTGTGTGTGTGTAGAGGTCGGGGCTCTCCGATGTACCTTTGATCACGGACTGTGTGACTGGATGTCCGACAGAGAAGGAGATCTCCACTGGGAGACTGTTCACAACCCCGCAGGTCGACTCTTCTATTGTTATTTATTATTTAAACTCTGTTCACTGTTACACATTAAAGGTGAGGCGAGGGGGTCGCAACTAGCAGCACCTACACTCTCCTTTAAGTAACTAAAGTAACTAAAGCTGTCAGATGTAATGGAGTAATAGAAGTAGTCGCGGTACTTATCAGTTGAACTGCGTCACTAACGGGCTCTCAGGTGGGCGCTACCTGTCGGTGCCGGAGCTGAAGGCGGGTCAGAGGAGCGTCCGCGGCGCTCGACTGGCCGTCCAGATATTCCCGCCCTGGAGCCACGGCGACCTGTGTTTCTCCTTCTCTCATTGGCTGACGGGGCATCAGGTGGGCGTGCTGCAGCTGTTTGTCAGGAAAACGGGACGAGACCAAAGGTAGCGGAGCAACAACAACAACAACAACAACAATAACAACAACAATAATAACAATAACTCCTCCTGTCGGCAGGTATAGCCCCGCCCTCTGGAGCCGCACAGGTGGGCATGGCTGGAGACACACACAGGTTACCTTGACGACGCGCTCTTTGAACAAGGTGAGACGCACACACAGGAACTGATGAAGAGTTTTTTGTGTTGTTGTTGTTGTTGTTGTTGTTGTTGACAGCAGGGGTGTGTGCGTGCAGGTGCTGTTGAAGGCCGAGCGGAGGAAAGGACGGCGAGGACAGATCGCTGTCGATGATGTCACGCTGAGACAGGGGGCGTGTCGATGACATCACAGCAGAGCGAGGACGATTAAAGGACCTTCAGTTTCTTTTAAAGGAAAACAAACAAACAAACAAACAAACAGGGTCTCCGAGAGGAAGCAGCCGGAGGTTTACTTGCAGACGGACAGACGATAAACTCGCTCTGAGAACGACGGGCTGAACTTTGACCTCTGACCTCCGTCAGTCGGTCAGTTTGTCTGCAGGTTCAAACATTCAGTGAACTGTTGAGGTTAAATATTTGTTTCTGTTTCTATTTGTTCTTTTTTTGGTGTTTTTCACTTTATGTCTCACTGATTGTTGTTTTATAAACTCTTTACACACCGAGCGCAGCGACGTAACGGAGATTTACAACCAGGTTAAAAATGAAAATACGTGTTTTAATTTCAAACATTAATCCCCGGTACCGTCTGCAGTCTGATCCAGGACCGGATCAGGATGTCGACGGAGGGTCAGGATCTGTAGAGTGATATATTTTAGGGATTGTTGCAGCATTCAAACGTCTGATTTCACTGCAGCTGTTTGAAACTCGTTTTGTTGCAGTGAAATTACAGGAAGTGAGAATAAAATTAAAGTGTTTGGAGGATAAATGAGACGCAGAAGAGTCGCTGTGATTGGTTGGAAGATGATTAACGGACTTCCTGAAGGCCGGAGGTCTGATTTCTGTTAATAAAGGAAAACAATCGACACTTAAAAGTTTAATTTGACCAAAAACATAAAAACAATGAACATTATTATAATGTTGTTAATAGATTTCACTCATAGTCTCTTCTGAACGACTCATATTGTCACATACATTTTAATATTCGGTCGAATGCAGTTTTATCTGATTCTGTAAACATGTTTGTTTTTACTGACATTGATTATTTGTATTGATTAAGGTAATAATTCAATCTGTCTGTCAGCAGTTCACATCCACACACACACTTTCCTTTTCTGCTTAGTCGACTGATTTACAGACGTTTATCATGTGAACACATCACTGTTTGTATTACACATCAGTTTATTAAGAGACAGAAATAATGTGCTCAGTATTGATCCATCGTTACCGAGTTCACTGTTTGGGTTCATTGTTCACTTTTAATATATAATATACAGAAAATATGTTTAATAAATCCAGTCTTTCATTCTTTCTGTGTGTAAAAATCTTCATTCATAAAGAAAGTAAAGCTCAAGTTTCCTCTGAGATGTGAAACAACTATATATTATATTACTGTTTACTGTATTAGTTCAGTAAAGGTTACACACATCCACTGACACTCAGATCTATGAATCTTCTTTCAGCTCCACCTTTGACCTCCGACCTCTGCAGTGTCACCTGCAGGAAGAGAGAGAGGAAGAAGAGGGCGGTCGTCTGTCTGAACTGATTTGTGTGTTGAACATCTGCTTTAGAGCGCGCACACACACACACACACACACACACACACACACACACTGATGGGCGGAGCAGCCTGATTGGTGCTTTAACAGATTCCTCAGTTTATAGACTCACAACATTTGAGTCAAACCTGTGATTTAACTTTCTGTTCCTGATATCTGTGTGTGTGTGTGTGTGTGTGTCTGTGTGTGTGTGTGTGTATGTCTTGTGTGTGTGTCTGTGTGTGTGTGGGTACTGCCCTGCTCATTAACCCTGTAATTACCTCAGTAACCTCCCTCCACTCTCCCTGTGTGAACAGCCGCTCTGTGTTTGTGTTCCTGCAGCACGGAGACGAACTGTGAATCAGATCTGTTCTGTAACACTTCTGTACGTTTACCGGTTTTTCACGTCTATTTGACAGATTTTATTTGTAATTTTTAAATACAAGTATAGATAAATAAAATTACAAAAACAGCCTGAATTTACATGTCTAATGTAAAATAACATGAACAATCTGGAACTGTAAATAATCATAAAATTACTGTTTATTTAAAGAGAATTTAAATTTGTTCACCTAAAAAGATTAAAATTACATTTACAAATCTTTATATTTTTGCCGATATTTACAGTTTATTTAATAGATTAAACTGTTAAATTCAAGTTTAATACTGTTAATATATTTATAAAATGATTAATTAGTGACATTAACAGTAAAGTGTTAGTTGTGTAATTTTAATGTATTAGTTAGTTAACTGACAGATATGTTATATAATGATGGAAGTTGAATAAATGTTGTTTATTAGTGTATAAGCATTGGTAAACTGTCTCATTCTCATTATCGAACCGTCTCTGCCCCCTGCTGGAGCTGAAGAGCAACTGCACCTCTTCTGCTTTTATAATAACACGTTCACACGTTCACATGTATGTACAAATAAAACCTTATAATAAACAAAGACATCATATAACATTGTATTTAACTTTATCCATTTTATACTTCTTCTCCACCTCAGAGGAAAATACTGAACTTTACTACATCACTTTAAAGCTTTAATAATTAGTTTCAATCATATGATCGCTTTATAAAATGATTACAGATGAAATTATATAAAGTTCTTACACCTAAAAGTCTCTTTTCAAACTGTTTATTTGGTACATTATGTTTTCCAAATTAACTTAAACATACAAAAAAATACATAAAAAGGCTTATTGATGTCTTACAATGTGTCTTTTCCAGCAACCAATCATTTCAATATTGAATATATTTATGTATTTATATTATATTCAATATATAAATAATCTGTAAATAAAAAACATTTTAAAGCAAATATATAAAAAAATGTAAAAACATTTTTTAGACATTTTATGACTCAACAATCCCAAAAAGACTCCTGAAGTGAGTGATTAATTAATGTTCTGTTCAATGACTAATCAATTAATCAATTAATCAACTAATCGTTTTAGCCCTAATTATTAGGACATTATTAGATTATTAAAGAACCAGTAAAGAGACATTAAAGAGTCACACAACAGTTGAGTTCCCATCAAAATGTCTCATTTTAAGTGAATTTTGAGTCATTAAACAGAAGAAAATGTGAATGAAAGTTCGCTTTCATCCAGTCGTTATGTGATTATTAAGAGTTGGTTCATCTTTAGCAGCACGAGGCGCCAAGTCTCCAGTCAGAGGACCAGAAGAAGAGACAACAATTATTATCATTGTGTGCAGGTGGAAAACAACACAGAAAACTGGATGGAGATATTACATTTGTTACAGTACGGAGGTCATTTACAGAGTCTCCTGACTATATATAATATATATATATATATATAATATTATAAATATTATATATATAGTATTAAACGTAGAGAACCGCTAACTGCTGTTAGCTCGGTCAGCCGTGCAGTTAAACTAACTGCCTCAGCCCCGAGATGCTGGAGGTAACACACACTATATTGCTGCTGTAAACGGTAATCAATATCCTCCACGAGTCCCTCCATAGCTGCTTGTTTTACAGGAAACAGTAAATATGAGGAAGCTAACGGCTCTCTGCTTCCCTTCGTGGAGACTTTAAGTTCAAACTGTTGAAAAAGGCCAAAACCAGCTCAAGTGGAAATGTGTTGATGTAAATAAAGTGACTGTGACTCGAGTTCAGACGCAGCGGTGTCTCTTCAACTGGTTGGAGAAGGAGAAGTGTTTCTTACACCGGTCGCACCAGTACGGTTTCTCTCCGGTGTGAGTGCGCACGTGTCGGGACAGGTTGGACGACGTGATGAAGGCTTTGCTGCAGTACTGACACCGGTACGGTTTCTCCCCAGTGTGGACGCGCTTGTGCAGCAGGCAGGTGGTGACGTGGCTGAAACTCTTCCCGCACTGGTCGCAGCGGTAGGGTTTCTCCCCGGTGTGGACCCGCTCGTGGTCGGCCTGGTTGGTCGATGACGTGAAGGTTTTGTCACAGAAGTTACACCGGTAGGGTCTGTCTCCCGTGTGGATCCGTCGGTGGACTGTGTACGATGAGTAGTGGTTAAAGCTCCGCCCACACAGCTCACAGGCGTAGAGTTTCTCCCCCGTGTGGACGCGCCGGTGTCTCTTCAGATTGGACTGCGTGAGGAAGGTTTTGGAGCAGAGCGGACACTGGAACGGTTTCTCTCCGGTGTGGACGTGTTGGTGTTGTTGGCAGGAGAATGAATCGGCGAAGCCCTTCCCGCACTGTTGGCAGCTGTACGGTTTCTCTCCAGAGTGTCGGCGCTGGTGGACTTTTAAAGTGCTGGACTGAGTGAAAGACTTCCCGCACTGGTCACAGCTGTACGGTTTCTCTCCCGTGTGGATGCGGCGGTGAGTCCGTAAACTGCTCAACTGAGTGAACGCTTTCCCACAGAGGTCACAGCTGTACGGTCTCTCTCCGGTGTGAACCCTCTGGTGATCCTTCAGGTGGCGTGTGGAGGTGAACACTTTGTCACACTGCTGGCAGCGGTGAGGTCTGGGCCTCTTCGATCCTCCTGGTTTCTATGGCGACAGAGACAGAAACAGATGTTTGTGGAGGGCGGGAAGCAATGTTTCACTATTTTTATAGAATAAATGACTCAAATCAGCGACAGGGAAACTAAATCAGTTTTACTTCATTTAACTTTTGAATAGATTATTGAAATATAGCAAGCTCATGACTTCTTTGAATACTCGACTGTGTTCAGCTCTTCTTAAATAATAATCTAAACTTTAAAAACAACTATTTGATTTTGTGTTCACAGAAATTACAAAAAGTTCAGATATTAAGTTTTCATCTTCTTGAATTGCCCCCGATATATTTTAGGTACTTTGCTAGCGACAGCATTATCCGACCGCGGGTCAGACCAGTTCACCTGCTGGGAAGAACTCATGTCGGCCTCCTCGGTGGAAGACACGGCGGGTCTGAGGGGACACAAAATGGAAGACGGGGTTCTCTCTCCTCCTCGTCTGATGCTTCTCTTCCCGCCATTCAGCTCTGACATCAGACACAGACAATCAAAGGTCACCTTACAGCTCTCAACCAACACACACACCTTCACAATCACTCAGTGTTTATAGTGTATAGTATTAGAGGTTTATTAAAGGTTTATTAGAGGTTTTACGGTACAAACTCAGCTGTCGTCCCCTGTTGGAGATTTAAATATAATCAATATATAATATATTTTTATATTTTTTTTTAATATATAGATTTAAATATAATTAATATATAATATATAATATATAGATTTAAATATAATTAATGATTTAAATATAATTAATATATAATATAAAATATATAGATTTAAATATAATTAATGATTTAAATATAATTAATATATAATATATAATATATAGACTTCAATATAATTAATATATTTAACTGTGAACTGCAACTGATAAACAATAATAAACACATTGTTTACTGAAGTAAACACAGTAAACAATAAAGTTATAAAGTTTTCTCCCTGCTGTTGCTAGGAAACGGCTAACAGCTAAGCTAAGCTAAGTGCTCGCTTTATTCAGACGGTTCAGTGGATCCGGAACTTTAACGGACTGAACCCGGACCGCTTCATGAAACTCTGGACTCACAGACACCGACCACGACCCACGAACCGCCTCCGGTTCCGCTCGGTTCAGCCTCCCGTCCACCGCCGGCCGCCATGACAGTTCCGCTGCGGTCCGAGTCACGTGACTGCCGAACACAGCCGAACACAGCCGAACACAGCCGAACACAGCCGAACACAGCCGAACACAGCCGAACACAGCCGAACATAACCGAAGAGTCTTTAAAGGGACAAACAGGCTTTTATTAATCAGGACAAACTTATAAATATATATATTCTTATTATTTTGAGATATGAACTTAATATCAGTCAAAGCATTGGAAACAGTTTCTCATTATTTTAAGATATTTAGTCAAAATAATGACATATATCGTAAAATAGTCTTTATAATATTATACGTAGGTCAAATAATAATAATATAATAATACATTTTATTTATAATGCCCTTTTCATCAAAAGATCTCAAAGTGCTACAAAGAAAAGATAAGCAGTTTTAAAATAAAAAATAAAAATCCATGGATGCATTGATGTGTGAGAAGAGAAACTTTGTACCCAATCCTGGTGGAGACGGGAAGCCAGTGGAGTGAGTGGAGAATGGGGGTAATGTGCTCATGTTTCCGCACTCTCATCAGGATCCTAGCTGCAGAGTTTTGGATGTACTGAAGCCTCTGCAGACTCTTGCCAGGAATCCCAATGAGCAGTGCGTTACAGCAGTAAGCAGGTAGGGGGCGCTCTCTGGGGGCAGGGTATCAACCTGCTGCGGTAGGTCAGCAGTAGGCAGGTAGGGGGCGCTCTCTGGGGGCAGGGTATCAACCTGCTGCGGTAGGTCAGCAGTAGGCAGGTAGGGGGCGCTCTCTGGTTCCGAACATGTGAATCTGTCAGTGATACTTTACAGCTGAACCACAACATGACTGATATCTGACGATGAGTCCTACATGGTGCTTTTATACCAGCAGAGGTCACCAGATCTAAAGCTCATCCTGCTGTAGAGTAACTAACAGTATACAGACTGATATATTGATCACTAACAGTATATAGACTGATATATTGATCACTGACAGTATATAGACTGATATATTGATCACTGACAGTATATAGACTGATATATTGATCACTGAAAGTATACAGACTGATATATTGATCACTAACAGTATATAGACTGATATATTGATCACTGACAGTATATAGACTTTTATATTGACCAGCACTAACAGTATATAGACTGATATATTGATCACTAACAGTATATAGACTGATATATTGATCACTAACAGTATACAGACTGATATATTGATCAGCACTAACAGTTTATAGACTGATATATTGATCACTAACAGTATATAGACTGATATATTGATCACTAACAGTTTATAGACTGATATATTGATCACTAACAGTTTATAGACTGATATATTGATCACTAACAGTAGATAGACTGATATATTGATCAGCACTAACAGTTTATAGACTGATATATTGATCACTAACAGTATATAGACTGATATATTGATCAGCACTAACAGTATATAGACTGATATATTGATCACTAACAGTATATAGAGTGATATATTGATCACTAACAGTATATAGACTGATATATTGATCAGCACTAACACTTTATAGACTGATATATTGATCACTAACAGTATATAGACTGATATATTGATCAGCACTAACAGTATATAGACTGATATATTGATCACTAACAGTATATAGACTGATATATTGATCACTAACAGTATATAGACTGATATATTGATCACTAACAGTTTATAGACTGATATATTGATCAGCACTAACAGCTTATAGACTGATATATTGATCAGCACTAACAGTATATAGACTGATATATTGATCACTAACAGTATATACACTGATATATTGATCAGCACTAACAGTTTATAGACTGATATATTGATCACTTACAGTTTATAGACTGATATAGGATGATCAGGATGATTTGAATTTTGATTTCAGTTGATGGACATTCCTATTTGATTGTGTGAAAGCTGACACGTGTTTTTATGTTGTTATCTTTGGCATTTCTTCTGTTGTGTGTGTGTGTGTGTGTGTGTGTGTGTGTGTGTGTGTGTGTGTGTGTGTGTGTGCGTGTCAGTCATGTACCATCATCATGTTACTCATTGTTCTATTTTAAGAATTAGATCTTGAGAGCTTCCTGGTTGACTCAAGGTCAAACACAGGTTGACAGGTTTTAGGAAACTTGATGTGTGAGAGACATTTCTGTCTGCTCCGAGTATTGTCAGAGCTCATAAAGTGAGGAACTGTTGAGAGTGTTTTGGCTTTCTGCCTTGTGTGTGTGTGTGTGTGTGTGTGTGTGTGTGTGTGTGTGTGTGTGTGTGTGTGTGTGCTTCCACAGAACTGCAGAGCCGCTAACACACCCACAAACAGTCTCCCAGGAGAATTTGAATAGTGAACTTGAACAGAAATAAAAGCAGAGAGCTGGAGGGGGAAATGAACAGACGGACGCTGGAGGGATGAAGCTGTGACAGGATGAACGGTGAGTGACAACTTTCACAATAAAACTGACCAACAGGTTGAGAGGAAGAGTTAAACAGCAGCTGATGTTAGAAGGAAACTTCAGCTCATATTTAGATCCTAGAAGAGTCTTAGAGAACATTCTTTAAATTCAAGGCCTTACATGGCGTACAGTAGAGTGCATTGTGTTGTTGTCTCTGCTGCTGTACAATGAAACCAATCACACAGGTTGTTTCCTGAAACCTTAACAGATGTTTAACTTTAAATGGTCTTATAGTGTGTAGTGGCATGTAGCAGTTACATTACAACTGATTGAACACTGCTCGCCTCCTCAGCGTGTAGGAGAAACTCTGGTGGCGGCAAAACATGAAAGGTTTACAGCCCGTATCTGGAAACCCCGCTGCCTCTGTAGATACAAACTGCTCATTACAGGGTAACCAAAACACAACCAATCCCATATCCAGGTGGTTTTATACTAATGGAAACATACCTGTGAATATGGATCCTCCTGGATGTTACACACCGGATCTTTAAACACAAACCGGCTTCTGATTTGCTGTTTTGTTACGTATTTTGTCCATTTATGTCCAAATCCGTTAAATTCTTCAGATAAACTAAAGGATTAAGTGTTCCTGTATGAAACACTGAGGAACTGAAGCAAAGTGAAAATAAAACCTCTGAACAGGAACAGAAATCTTTGTCATCTTAAGTTAAATAAATCGTCTGATAAGTCAATCACATGACTACAAAGAGCCACAAAGAACAACTTTAAAGACAAATGGACTAAAAAAGGACTGAACAACCACAAAGAAGCAGATTAGAGAGACAGCACATGCATTATCAGACCTGTATTATTATTGTTGTTGTTGTTGTTGTTGTTGTTGTTGTGTTTTGGAGCTGTATGGACGACTGTGACACTTGTTTAGTCTCTCTCAGTTATTCTAGTTGTTTTCTGATTGGAGCAGCGTCCCTCTCTCTGATGTTGGATTTTCCATCCGTCGTCGGTCCCTGAGGTCAAACATTAGAGTAAACCATCCTCCAACGCTATAAACAGTAAACAGTGAGGAGGTCAAAGGTCATTCAGGCCGTGCTGCAGTTTCACATAAACACTGTTCACAGTCGGAACACAACGCAATTTAAATTTTATTTAAATTGCAACAATATAAGCTCAATAAATAAATACAGTTAATATAAAAGGAAGTTAAACATTCACAGTTTTTAATATGACCTTTAATGCAACAGTCACCTCCCACCATCTCCAACGAGTTAGTAGTAGTCTTTGTATTAGTTTCCATCATATTCCACCTAAATCTGCATATGCATATTATAAACTGTATATATATTTATATTTATATTCTTCAGCTTAATTCTTGAATTATATTCTTTACATTTAACTTTCAATTAGACGTAAAATATCCAAACAGAGTCTCGCTTCATTTCTTCCAATAAGTAAAAATATGTTGAAACAGCCCTTTAATTCTTTAAAGTTGTAAAGTTTCCCTCGACACTGATCAAGACAATAATAAATAATAATAATAATAATAATAACAATAATAATGATCACAGGCTGTAACGAGCGGCTGAAACCTGAAGAGATTCAAGACTTTAATGTAGTGACGAAGCAGAGGCAACATGGTGGTTAATTAATGTTAATTCATTTCAGCCTTATTATTATTATTATTATTATCTCCATTTACAGTTTCCTACAGTGCGTCTTACGTGAGAATATACAGAGTTAGATATTCAGTGATTTACATTTAATTAGATAAACAAGCAGTTAAACAGACAAGAGGCTGAATTCAGTCTGCTGGTGTTTGTATAATGAGAGCGGCTTTGTTTAAAACAGTCCGACTGGTTTGGTCTGGTTTACATACCACACACACACACACACACACACACACACACACACACACATATGCATCAGTTTCCTGGTCGTGTTGTGAGGTGTGTGTTTGGTCGGGGTGATAACAGGTGGTTTACTGTGCAGTTGTGTCTGATTCTCTTTACTCGAGTTAAAAAGTATCCCTGGTATCCGGAAAGATTCAACCACACACACGTTTATCTGTACATCACATTATATCACAATATATAAACATAAAGTACAGTTTCTATGCTAAGCTAACTGACGAATACAGCCAGCGGTGTTATAAAGCCTTCTCACTGGTCCTTTAAGTATGAAGTATTTCTACTTCACTACTTTTGTTATCACTTCCACCAAAGAGACATTTCCCCTCAGAAAGAAGAAATGATTAAATATTAAGTAGATTTGTGTCTTATAACTTTTTTATGTCCTCTCCCATTAATCATCTAGGATGTAAAGTTATCAGTTCAGCTCTAACACTGATCAGCATTAACAATCTATTAATGTCCTACAGAGGCAGAGATCACACTGTCACTACAGGTACTGGTAGCTGTCAGTGTTTATTACCGCCCTGTATATTACATTAATAATCCACTGCACATTGGAAATATATATATATAATATATCTTTATCTTTAGTTATTTATATTTCAAACACTATTTGATTTTGTTTGATTTACAATAAACCAGATTCTGATTCTGATAATAATAATAATAATAATAATAATAATAATAATAATAATAATAATAATAATATTTACTTATGTTGGATCTTGTAATTGCCGTGGTTCAGCATTGTGGTGTTGGTACTACTGACTCTGTTCCTACAGTTCAGTTTGTGAGCACTCTGGTTTCAGCTCTCTTTCCTCTGTGGAGATTATCGGAGCAGCTGCTAGAGAGACGCTGATATTTCAGACTGAAAGACGTACATCCTCCACCTCGCCATGACTCTCAGACTGAGGAAAGGAAGGATTTCTAATGTAGAGGAGAATTACCATGAGATGTGTTATTATTTCTGAACTATTATATGTTCATTATAAGGTTGTATTGCAGAATCATGAGTTATTAAGCTGAATAATAAAGACAAAGAGTGGACCAGCAGTGATCTGTTGGTTTATTTATATATTTATTTATTTTGTGAACAGCAGCGGAAACAAGTTGTAAACATAACAATGACCTTTTAATGTGATATGTCGACCTCCCGGGGGGTCAAATAGATTATTGATGATAAACAAGAACAATACAAATAAAAAATAAAAACTATACGAGAGCAGTTTATATTATTCATATTCATTAGACAATAAACCTTACAAACTATTATAACAGAATATAATATAATAATAATAATTTATAACTAAAGCCATATTCAGACAGGATTAACAACAAGAGGAGGAGGGGAATGAAACCACTGCACTCTTCATTTAACATTTAACTCATCAACGTTTTACTCTCACTGCTTCTTAAACAATCAATCAATCAAATGTGAACACACAGGAAACACACATTGTTATCAGTCGCTGTGACTTCCTGAGGGTATCAGAGTCTCTCAGATTCATACAGAATCAGTATCACAGTAATCCAGTGAGAGTTGTCTGTACATCCATGAGCACACTGCTACAGCAATTCTGCTACTTTAAATGATGCTAATTTACCAAAATGTAGAAAAATATCTGCTCAGAAACACCAGACGCAGCTTCTACCTGTAACTCTCCTGATGGATTACATTCTATCTTCATACTGGTTCCTAAATATTCCCATATGATGATATTGTTTATCATCAATATAATATTATTTAAATAGAAACAAAGTTCATAAATGATGTGTATTTAAATATTGTGTGTGTGTGTGTGTGTGTGTGTGTGTGTGTGTGTGTGTGTGTGTTTTGTAGAAAGCCTGCTAACCACCACTGCCGTGGCCAGCAACAACTCCTCGGTGATGGTTGGGTTGCACACTTGTTTCCATAACGACGATGCATTCAAGTACCGCGCCTACACCTTCACGTACCTGCTGCTGTTTCCCGTGGCGTTCCTCTGCAACATCGGAGCGCTGGCGGTCTTCCTGCTGCAGTCGAGCCGCAGGTCTGCACACACACACACACACACACACACACACACACACACACACACACACACACACGTCTCTATCCTTGTGAGGTCTCTTCACTGACTTCTATTCATGATCAGAACCAGAACATCCCAACCTTACCGACTCAATAGTATCCACACTCTGGGGATGCTACATTGCACACGTATCCTGTGAGTGTTTTCCAGCAGATGTTGAACCAGCTGCAGGGATTTGCTCCCATTCACAACAGCATTAGTGAGGTCCAACACTGATGTTGGGGGGGGGGTCAGGTCTGGCTTCTGGTTCCAGTTCAACCCAAAGGTGTTGGATGGGGTTGATGTCGGGACTCGTGTATATATCTTTAGACTTTGACTGCTGTTAGTTTGATTAACTTTTATAAAAGAGTCTCGTGTTCTTCCTCATCAAACTGAAAAACGTTTCTTTGTGGAGCTGCAGTCCTTTCTCGGTTGTCGTGCTCCTCTTCATCTTATACAGACGTATCGGCTTCAATGTCAGCCCCCCATTATCCTCCCCTCTTCCACTCGTCCTTCAGAGGCTGTAGCGGACTCCGTTTTAAAGCTAGAGTCAGTAAAATAACGCTCCAAAGTTAGGCTTCATTTTGGTGATGGAAAAACTGGCGTGATTTCAAAGGAATCTGTTGACCTCTGACCTCTAGATATCTGATTCAAAAGGGGTTCTATGGAAAGGTCACTTCATGCTAATCTCAGCAGTCTGGGGAAAAAAGCTTTTCCATGTGGTATTTGATTTTTCCTGCAAACTGGGCTCCATAAATAGTATTTGATTTGCATAAATTGAGAATGACTGAGACACACACAAAGTAATTTATGTAACGTTGTGTAACGTTTTCCTAAACCAAACAGTGTCACATCGTTAACCACCTATTAATAGGGTGTTTCTCACAGGGACACTAACTGTGTGTCTTAGAACGGGTTAAACTGGCTTCAATGACTCGGTAACAGTTGCCACACAGCTGGAAGGATGCTGTTGCCAAAAAACATAGAGAAGGAGCGTCCACATACTTCTGGCCATGTAGTGTGAACTGAAGAATCATAACTGAGGATCTACTGAACACCATCATCATTTCAGCAAACATAAAGTAATAGACCTTTTTGAGATGAGATAGGTAAACCCAGGAGTTAGCAGTGAGACTAACGAAGGCCCCGTTCCATTCAGGTCAGACTCTGCTTCACTAAAGTAATGGTGGAAATGGGTCCATTGTGTCTGTATCTGTTAGTCATCCATGGATTGAAGGAGAACCTGTCCTTCTTTCTTTCCAGCTTTATACCATCAGTGGACGTCACACCTATTTCAGCTCTTTTTGTTTGTTTAGTTCAGATTCCTCTGCAGCAGAATGCAGAACGGCAGCTTGTAGTTTCCTAATGTCCTGAGCCGATTGCAAGGGTCAGTATCAGGTATATATACATAATATACTTTACCTTTTACTCTACCTCACTGCTTTTACATTTCAGTTGACGGATGTGACAAATCATTTTGATCAAAGCTCGCTGTAGAAACCCTTCAGGAAGCAGATTGTCATGTTTTGTCAGCGCTGCCGTCAACCTGTGACAAAGTGGCAGAACAATAGTAAATGTGTCTGTTGTCCACTTTATAAAACCACAGAGTGATTCTCTCTAGATGGTTCTCAACCCTTTAATGACATTAAACACAGTACCACAGTGGTTTCCAACCTTATTCCTTTAGGAACCCTTTTTTTTGGGTCATTTTCTAATCCCTGAACAGTCTCGGGTCGCTGCATCTCATCCTTGATGAAGGTCCTGTGTGGAGGCGGGGTAGTTTCAGACTGACTCGCTTTCCCCTCATGTTCGAAAGGCGAGGGAGAAACTAAAATCGCCTCAAAATGTGTGAAATATGTCTCGATGTCTAGATCCAGTGTTTGGTTTGTCCATTCTGGGCTACTGTAGAAACATACAGAAGAGGCTTAAACACTAATGAAAACATACCTGTGAATATTATATTATATTATATAACTTTCATTAATGTCAGATAAATAAGATAGAGCTGTAAATGTTTTCAATCAGAACCTTTAGTATTTGGATCAAGTGTATTTAAATATCGAACGTAATCAGATCGGACTCTGGATCAGTATTAGACGACTCTGCCTTTCCAACAACTACCTGACCTCGCTGACACACTATCATTAGAAACTTCTAGATGTTGCTTATTTTGGGCCTGTGCGGTTCATTTGCCTACCACGATGCATGCAAATCAGGCACACAGTGATGTGAAAGACCAGCTTTCTTATGTTCTATGCAAATACATGATCCAGACTGGGATAAGACACGGACACTGTGTGCGTGAAACATTAACGATGAAATGAAACAGAGGGTGAGGATGTCTCGAGCTGGGTCCAGATGTTTGCTGTAATAATGTAGAATTTGAATAAATATTGGATCATAAAGCGTGTGTAGACATCAGTGTGTGTCTCAAACAGTCCTCTGCAGTGTGAGTCTCGGTCCTGAATGAGAGTTAACCAATTATGTGTTTGTTAATATTTGCATTTAAGGGCATTTTACAATAACGCATTTTATCACTGATATTATTTATCTGCAAACAGTCGCTTTAAACATTTACATCAGAACCTGCTCACACCTTTAACCTTTGGGCAGCAGGAGGTAAACTTTATATTCAACCCTCCAAAAAATTTAAACAGCGAATAATAATCTGTGCTAGAATGAACCGTCCACATCAGACACTAATGTGAGCGATCTGGATGAACATAATTCTGTCTGTGTGTGTATTATCAGTGGAATAAATACATAAAGATATGGTAGTATCTCACATGGCAATGCGTGTGGATACCTACAGATACTGTCCATAACACAGACATCTGATATGATTTGTATGATATTCAGATCTGGATTTCCATAAACTTGGATATGGATCTTTCCGGATAGAGTTCCTTTATGTCCAGTAATATCATCCGTAGTTAAAAAGCTTCTTTTTTGTTGACAGATTCAGTGTTTTCTTCTCATTGTTCTATCAGATCTTTGGTAGTTTACACTCTTCTGATGCAGGACGAGGCTGTTTAACAGAGACTGATGGCTCTTAGATAATAATATAAACTTAAAGAATAACAATTTAATTTAGTTTTCTTCACATAAATGAATGAAATATAAAAATATCAGCCTACTGTGTATTTTTAAAGGTCTTCTTACTCCCTTTAAAATGAAGAATGCCTCTCGCCCCCCCGGTTGGGACTGATTGTTTTCAATGTGCCACAGCAGCATCTGGTGGCCATTAGAAGAACTGCACTAAAACAAACTTCCCCCGCTCTGACTCTCTCTTCCTGTTTCCCCTCCAGAAGCTCCGCCTCCTGCGTGGTCATGATGAACCTCGCCCTATCAGACGGCAGCTTCTCCCTCACCCTCCCACTGCGATTGGCTTATTACTTCAGGAGCGGCGTATGGGACTTCCCCGATTGGCTGTGCCGACTGTGTGTCTACGGCTTTTACGTCAACCTGTACACAAGGTAACGCACACACACACACACACACACACACACACACAGTCCTGATTCACAGATAAAATTAATTAAGATTAATTTATTCCTCCCTCAGCATCCTCTTCCTCACGCTACTGAGCGTGCTCCGTTGGCTCGCCGTGGCCCGGCCCCTTCGTCATCGCTCTCTGGCCACGCCCACTCGGACATTATTGCTCTGTCTGGGAGTTTGGTTGTTTGTGGGCGTGTCCTCCGCCCCCTTCCTGTCCAATGGGGTGACAATCAGGTGAGTCTGAGCAAGTTTAGGGTTAATTTAAAATAAAGTTATAGTTCACGTAATCTCCTTTTATAATTCTACCTTTTTAAATAACTTAATTTTAAAACTTCTCCTCTTAAAAACCTTTCTATTTTCAGTTTTTATTTTTTATCTTCGCACTTTCTACATTATATTAAGTAAATAATACAAAGTACTGAATTATTTTTAATGGATTAAATTGTTTAACCTTTTAGTTTACATTTTAGTCTTCGGCTTTTTACCCTGATACAATAGCAGTAGGACTGCGGCGTTGATTTCTTTCCTCCCGGGCAGCGTTTGTTTCCTCTTCATTTCTATAAAAACTGACCTGCTGCTGAGACAGAATCCATCATGTTAGCTGCTCTGAGTTAATTTCCATAGAAATGTATCAATGAACTGAACCCACAGCTGACTGGAAGGAAGGAAAGGTTTGGAGCTGCCGTGTTGTCGTTGATTCAGTCCTGAGAAAATTCAGGAGAAGACTAATTCTCCAGCGGGACAATCGAGCACACCACTGCGACCACTGTGCTGTTTCTGAACCGATGAGTTTCTGTAAACACTGGAAACGGTTCAAAAGCTTCCTCTGGGTGGAAACATTCCTCAAAACATGACTGAAACACAACAAACACAAGATTAGAATTCATTTTAATGACTGACATTTTAATCCTCAGGAGAGATAAAGGCTGATCTGCTTCATGTCTGGAGGCGGGTTGGGATCAGACAGTAGTCGCATGTGTGTATTTACAGTGATGGATTTCAGCTGCTGCTGTCCTCACAGTTACTGTAGATACAGAAACAAGATGGTGCTGTTGTTTGGGATTAATAATCCCCACAGGATTAATATCTTTGAAGCACCTTATTCACATTTTATTGTTTCAAACGCTTTACAGAATTTAAATAGTACACAGTAAACAGAGAAATGTCGCCATCTTTGCTGCTCTATGGAGATTTTTACCTCCATGACTGCAAACGAGCCCAAAACCTGCAGTTCCTCTAACGGCCACTAGAGGCTGACAACAGCAGTGAGTCAGTCTACAGTCAGTTAACAGCCTGGTACAAAAACACTTTTGGTCTTATTTCCCTGTTCATGACAACTGTACAGGGGGAGAAGAGTTTATACACCCCTTTAAATTATATTAAGACCTAAAGTTATGCATAATTATGAGTGACAGGTGGGTGCGTGTTAAAATATGAATTAATTTTAAAAGATATTTACTGTGACGAGTGACCAAGGGAATCACAAAATGTTTCTTTTGAGTTGAACGTAGATTTAAGATTTTATTTGCTTATCTTTCTGCTCTCTCTCTCAGGGCGGGATTTCCTCGTTGCTTCGAGCCGTCTAGCCCCTCCTCTTGGGGGCGTGTCCTGATCTTAAACTACGTTGCTCTGGCTCTTGGCTTCCTCTGCCCTTTCCTCACAATCATCGTGTGCTACAGCCGACTCGTCCGACGCCTAATGGCCCGCTCCGACCTCCACGGCAGCAGTGTGTCCTCCAAAGCTCGCCGACGCAACAGACAGCGCTCGGTGCACCTGGTCACCATGGTGACGGCAACCTTCCTGTTCTGCTTTCTGCCCTATCACGTCATTCGCTCCCTGCACCTGCACGCCGTGTGCGGTGGCTGGAACTGCAGCCTCACGGTGGCGCTGCAGCGGGCGGTGGTGGTGACGCTGTGTCTTGCGGCGTCCAACAGCGTGGTCAACCCGGTGCTGTATTACTACTCCACCAGGACGTTCAGAAACAACATGAGGGACGCTCATTCCTCTCTGTTGTCCAGCAGGGGGGGGTCGTTCAGGTCGGGACTGGCTCTGGTGAGGAGAAGGAATACGACCTGACAGACAGAGTCAGCTCTGTAGCTGGGTCGGTTAAAAAAAGTCTTCTGCTTCATGTTGATGAAGGACAACACATCAAGGATCTTTTAACTGGTGTGGCAGCACTTTTATTTATTCCAATGAAGAACATATTTATAGCGTTCTCCTGATAGACCACATATAGAAGGAAAGAAATGAGACTGAAATCATAAGCAGCTTTGCAGACAGCCGTCATTGTTGAGGAGGGTTCAGGTTAGGGATAGGACAATATATTATCATGTATTGCGATATTAAACACTTGCGTGCCATTACCGGGATAATCGTGAATATCCTCACACAGCTTGACAAACAGTCCTATATTGATTTCCTGTTTTATTTTGAAACAAGGGGACAAGGGAGAGCCAAACTGTCACCATGGCTGAAAGCTCGACTTGCCTCTTATCTCTGTGTGGAAATAGTGTAGAATAGATAGAATAGATCAGGAGTCTGTCTGTGATAGGTAGGTAAAGTGACTCCTGCATGTTATTTTAATAGGATGAAGTTTATCTTCTTGATTGTTGTGATAATATTGTGTATCGCAATTATTTTGGCCAAGATAGTCGTGACATGAGATTTTCATATCGTCCCATGCATAGTCAGGAGCTTCATGGGGGGTTGTAAGGCTGGTTGAGGAGGGTCCTGCTAGTTGAGGAGGGTCCTGCTAGTTGAGGAGAGTCCTGCTGGTTGAAGAGGGTCCAGGCTGGTTGAAGAGGGTCCAGGCTGGTTGAAGAGGGTCCAGGCTGGTTGAAGAGGGTGCAGGCTGGTTGAAGAGGGTCCAGGCTGGTTGAGGAGGGTCCAGGCACGTTTGTCTCAAAGTTGGACAAATGTCTGCAGTTTGTCTTCCTTTCCTGTTAAAGCAACCTGTCAGGTACAACTGACTGAAAGTAAGCTGTTGGTGATTTTCTTTATTTTTCTTCATTTTCAGACTCAAACCAACAATGAATGTGTCTACCAACAAGTACTGTGTGTGTAGCACAGTGCCATACAGCTCCATTGATCCAAAAACTACTACTATTACAAACTGTTATTCTTGTTTGATAAAAAGTACAGTTTTAAAAATGAAACTATTTACTTGTGTTTAAAGACACTGTTCCTTTGAGTCTACATGTGGAGTGTGTGTGTGTGTGTGTGTGTGTGTGTGTGGTTATAAACAAGTGATGTGGATTCTGGTGAAGAATCTTTGTTTACATGTTTGTTTGTTAGGTAATAAATATTCTGATGAGTCACGTAGACCGGAAACATCTTTGTATGAGGATCCCACAGGAAATACCTCCTTCAATATTTCTGTTTAGTTGTTTATTTTCACAGAAAAGTGTAAATCTGGTGTAATTATAATTCTGTCAGAGACCACAGACAGACTGATGATCAGGCTCAGGATGAATTTAGGGGACTAATAATAATAACTTTAAGGACTGTAGCTGTGTATTTTCACTGTATTTTATTTCATTAATAAACACGAATAAAGGTATTTGGCTCTCTGTCATTCTGGTCTCCAGAAATAATGTAAAAAATACTTATTTATAATAAAAATAACTCCTGTCTGTACAGGAGAGCAGACAGACTGATGTTGTTAAAAGAGTGTTCAGAACTTTTGTAGTTGAATCTCTGTGGTTTGAAGTTGAGTTTCTCTCCCTGTTTGTACATTCAGATATCTGCTGTATTTTACTGTTCAGCTGAACAGAGTCCTGTTAAGTTACTGCGGATGAAAACTCAACACTTCCTGATCTTGCTGCTTCATAATAAAAGCGCAAAATAACCAGAGACTTTTATTGTGAAGAGTTTATAGGTAGTTAAGTGTTTTGTTAGTTAGTGCTTTCCACACATGCACATACTATCACACACACACACACACACACACACACACACACGCTGACTTCATTAACTATATTTCACTTTAAGAAGTGTGTGTTCTTAACATTTTGTCCTTCCTTTGAGCCGGGTCAGGAAACAGGTTGTAAAAGGTTGTAAAATCAAAGTTCACATTCACAGCCCTGCTCCTCTTCCTGAAATGAACCACAGCTTGATAACCCCTCCCTCTTCCTCCTGCTCTCAAACACAGCGAGCTCCTCTCTGCACACATATTTCCTTGTTCCCTCCCCTTTAGATCTACAGTTTGAAGATGGGTGTAACCAACATGTGATGATGTGAAAGAGCCGACAGCCCCCATTCGCTGCAGAAACACCTGTTGATTCCATCATAGGTCAAACTAGTTTCAGCTCTGAGGAAGTGAAACTCAGACAGTCGCTGTCACTGAGAGGGGAAATGGCGCAGCAAGGAGTTCAGCTGGACCGAGAAAGATTCTGCTGTCCGATCTGTCTGGATCTACTGAAGGATCCGGTGACTACTTCCTGTGGACACAGCTACTGCATGAACTGTATTAAAAGCTTCTGGGATGAAGAGGATGAGAAGAAAATCCACAGCTGCCCTCAGTGTAGGCAGACCTTCACACCGAGGCCTGTCCTGCTGAAAAACACCATGTTAGCAGATTTAGTGGAGGAACTGAAGAAGACTGGACTCCAAGCTGCTCCTGCTGATCACTGCTATGCTGGACCTGAAGATGTGGCCTGTGATTTCTGCACTGGGAGAAAACTGAAAGCCCTCAAGTCCTGTCTTGTCTGTCTGGCATCTTACTGTGAGAAACACCTCCAGCCTCATTATAAATCACCTACCTTCAAAAAACACAAGCTGGTGGACCCCTCCAAGAAGCTCCAGGAGAACATCTGCTCTCGTCATGATGAGGTGATGAAGATGTTCTGCCGTACTGATCAGCAGTGTATCTGTTATCTCTGCTCGGTGGATGAACATAAAGGCCACGACACAGTCTCAGCTGCAGCAGAAAGGACTGAGAGGCAGAGAGAGCTCGAGGTGAGTCGACAAAACATCCAGCAGAGAATCCAGGACAGAGAGAAAGATGTGAAAGAGCTTCAACGGGAGGTGGAGGCTATCAATCGCTCTGCTGATAAAGCAGTGGAGGACAGTGAGAAGATCTTCACTCAGCTGATCCGTCTCATGGAGAAAAGAAGCTCTGATGTGAAGCAGCAGGTCAGATCCCAGCAGGAAACAGAAGTGAGTCGAGTCAAAGAGCTTCAGGAGAAGCTGGAGCAGGAGATCACTGAGCTGAAGAGGAAAGACGCTGAGATGAAGAAGCTGTCACACACAGAGGACCACAACCAGTTTCTACA